TAAGCAGCGAAGACATCACATACACACTCACTGCAAAATGCGCAGTTTATCAGTACTTTGAATATGTTTTACTGCTAGAGAAAATATCTTTTTAAGAATTAAACAAAGCCTTGTAATCACATCAGAATTACTCATTGCACACACTGAAAAGTAAGTTACTGCAAGAGTGTTGCTGATTTAGAAGCTAGCTATCCATATGAGCTATCCATATGATTGCTGAGGACAAAAGATATTAACTGATTCACATCAATCACCTCCTTTCCCGTCATTGGTATTACGACCTATGTTGTCTGCAGTTTTTGTCTGCGCTTCTATCATTTTTGTATTAATTTCTTGTCCATCCTTTACAAAATACAGTAAAACAACTATCAGTACGATTACTATGGTCGGTAAGCTGTAAGTTAATTTATTCTTAACTCAATTTCAATATCTTTGAAAAGTGTATGCAGTTATTAAGATTTTTGATAGATGAAATTGACTTAAAAGTCGTAATTTATTCCGTTGAAATATTACCTGCGCATTGTAGTAAGAATTCCTTTTAACTATGCTGAAAAAAACGAAATTTCTTTATTTTTTGAAAAATGTCAAGTAAATATTTTACAATTGTTTGACTACAAATTTCTATAAATTTCCATCTTAACTTTTAAGTATTTCAGCACTCATTGCAAGTACTGTAGAATACTGTATTTGTAAAAAGCAATTAAAACTGTTAACCGATTGCAAAGTATTTACGTATCAGTGCAATTGATATTGAAAGGTGAATGCTGCTAAAGATTAGTTCAATTGTTAAACCGACGCACAAAGCGACAAATATGAATATGACGCGATCTTGTAGTCTGTTTCTATTTTATAGCTCATTTTCAGTTCAGATTGTGCGTCATTTGATTATATATGCAAGAAAGCAGTCAAAAAATCAGTGAATTTTTTACTTCACTACAGTTTTTCGTCTCTAATGCACCACACATGTGTTTATTGCTTACACCTTCATTAATTTCATTTTCTGAAGGTTATAGCAGCATCATTGCATAAGTTGCTTCTTGATGCTCAGTTTGAAGCTCAATCATTGTTTGCTTCAACTACAATAGAGTACACAAAATTTTATCACTTTACAATAAGAAGAAAAATAGTGAAAGTATATTTTAACAGTAAAATGCTTAGTTGTGTTTGAGTTTGAATAATTGTAATTAATTGTGAGCAGAATGCAATGACTTTGCTTTGCTGAAGTGAATTTATTTATTTGACAATAGAAGCAAACAGAAGAACAGAATAGTAATTGAGCGCAAGTTTCCATTTTACCATTTTTGGTACTTTTTTTAGTACTTCATCTTCATTTGCAGTTCTTGCAAGAGCTGCTTCTGTCTCAGCTCGATTCTAGCAAAAATTTTGAGGATAACTTGGAAGTAGTTGAATTTTCCTGAGTTCTGTCTATCTCAAACGACTTCGCTTCTTTTGCTGATTTTACAACTAACTTCATTTTTGCATCATTGCCTGCTTGTCCTGCCATCAATTTTCTGCTCATCTGTTTCAAATTTAAATTATCAGCACAATTAGCTAGTTTAGTGATTTTATTTTAGTAATAACTTACATTTCTTGTCTAATCAGACAAGTTCAACTCATATCACATGAAAAAACTAATCAGAGATATGTAAAATTAGCACTGAAAGTGAATTTTTTGCCAAATTTTGAGAGGACTAAAATTTTAAATAAGTAATTTCTTTCTACTTCAACTTTACGTTAAATTTTCATTACAATATGAAAACAAATTTCGAATTAAAATGCTAACTGATTTTCTAGCTGTTACGTATCCTATATCAGAGAATCCTTGTGTTTTTTGCGATTCTTCTTCTGCTGTGCTGTGAAAGAATCACATATAAATGTATATTTTTTTAAACTAATTAGCCAAAGTTAACGTAAATCCGTGAATGAAACATTCATACCCTCAACATTATGGGAGGGAAATTAGTTTTGTTCTTATTTTTACAGAGAAAATATATTATTATAAAGATTGTAATTGAATCACTCAACAATCATTAGGTATTAATTTACCATGCAAATTCTTCCCAATCAGTGATATCTATTATATTTTTATTGAACCGAACCTTTCTTCTGCAATGTAATTTCTGTGAACTAAACTGTAGAGTAAAGTAAGAGGGAATGTGACATTATAACCGAAATTTATACTATTATATTTATTTGCGTGAAATACGAATACATTTTTATGTTTGTTCTCAGTTAGAACAAATGTTATATCGAGGATAAGTGAGAATAAGAAGCAAAACCGTGAAGCATGCAAGGCTTTTGTCTGAAATTTTTCTTTGCTCTCATTTGTATTTGGCATGGATAGCGAATTGGCAAGAAATGTGTTTTTGCGCAAAATCTGACGGTTGAAATCTCCCCGGGATTCAAGTTCCTCCAGAGGCGCATATGGATCCCATTGTGGTGGCTCATTTAGCTTCAATTCACTATAGTTTTCTTAAATCGAGAAATCAGCAATTACAGTTTCAAACTCATGAATCTTTTAAAGTATTATTTTAAATAGTAGTTTGTTATAGTCAATTTTTTTAAATTTATTATGAAGTAAATAATAAACAAATCCATGGAGAAAAATTTAAACCTTCATGTATGATACTTCGAGAGATTCAGCAACATCGTCCTGCAATAATATTTCCATTTCTCAATATTCTATGCATTGAATATTGCCTTTTTCCTTCATAATGGCATTGAATTGTTGATTAAAATGAATTACATTATTAAAATTAAAAACAAATCTAGTAGTTAGCAGGGCTTATCTAATGATATTATATTTGTCATCTTTCTTTGAAACATTGCGCGCTTTTATTTTATTTACAAAAAGAAACAGAGCAAGATAATTCGAATTGTTTCATCCGAAGTTAAGTTTTAGAAGCAATTAGTGGACAGGAATATATTTTTTGAAATATGCAGCTTACCTTGTTCATTTGACGTATCATATCGTGACAGACGAAATATATATCTTGCTCGTTAAACATGTAATTTTCAGAATTAAGCTCTTCTAGTTGCTATAATATGTGCTTATTAATTTGTCTTACGATTTAGCAAGTGCTTTAAGTCAAAATAGATTGAATAATATCAGTACACAAATAGTCCCAAATGATTTGCTTCATTTACGCCAAAATTTTTTTGAATTTCATGTAACACACTTCTTGCAATACTTCATCTTCGTCAGCAACATTTCCTGGCTGGGACTGCGACGGATAAAAAGTATCATCCTCAGCATCCGCCTCTTTCTTCCGCAATTTCACGTCACTGTTATCCTTGTAACTCTTGCTTCCACTTTTCCTTTTCTTCAGGTCTTTTAATGAGAATATCAAGTCACCTAGGTAACATTTCACATCAAAAATTGACAAAGCTCATGAGAAAAAAGTGGAAGTTGCTAAGATTAGCAACATCAAAGTGTGTAGTAGGAAGGAGAGTGCATACCTTTCCTCAAAGATGCTTCTGACGCAGCTCGTTTGCTTGAACAAATTCGATCTATAAGTGCAGAATTAGGCTCCACGCCAAATGCCTTAAGTAAAGTACTGATAAGATATTAGTGTTTTTGTTTAATCCAATTTCTTTAATTGAATTGAAAATTTTGCAAATGAACTAAACTGAGTACATTGCACATTTTTGTCACAGTTATTCTGATTTATCTCTTTTTTAATCACTCATCTCGTTCTTCTACTGGCTTGTAGCACAGATGTTAATGTGCGTACCAATTTTGATCCACTTGACAAATTTTCAGTTGTTCTGTTAACAAATTAAGATTGAAAAAATATGGAAATTATGAGGAGCAGTGAGGTCTATGGAACCTTCTGAGCTTCTTCCAATTGATTCCGCAAATTTTCCTTCGACCTTTGAATTCTGCTCCTCTTTATTGCTTTCAGAATCATGCTGTCTGCCACTGAACATTTTGATTTGAACTGTAAAATACTTGTTTTTTGAAAGAAATTGAGGTTTTCAATTGCTTCAAGTTTGAAAACTACTACATATTGTTCAAAAGTAATCATATTTTGTATGAGAGCAGTAAATCCTGTTTATTCATAATCTATATCATTGTAAAATTTATCATACAATCCTTGCAACTTCATCTTTGTCAACGTAGTTGGTTGAGAAGAAAGAAGGAAAACTTTAAACTACTCAGTTATTCAGCGCCATTTTTTGAATACTAATCAATTTAAAGAAGTGCTGTTCACAATAACTAAAAAATTGATAGGAAGATTTAAGAAGTGAAAGTTTTAATACAAAAAGCAGTTTTTCATATTAGTATCTTTGTACAGTAACTCGGGTAACAACGTGGAAGTAGACTAACTTGAGGGCCATCATGTGACTGAGGTAGAGAATCAACCTTATCTTTTGATTTTGCTTTCTTCTTAGTGAATAAGCACATCGATCCTTGATAAATCATTTTAGGTATGCAAGCATTTTACTTAATTCATTTTATAAAGTAATTAGCTATCAGAAAGATAACTTAAATCAACAAAAAAAAAAGTTTAGCTTCCAAAATTTGATGAATAGTACTCACACAGATTTGAAGGCTACAGTCAAGCCAACCGTTGCTGCAATAATTTATGACAGTGCAAAGCACAACTAAAACGAGCTATGCAAATCTATGTAATTGGAGTAAGATATTTTTGCCTATTTATCAATAAAATTTTATGCTAATTAAGTAGATATGCACTAATTTATGATCGGATTAATTTTTTTATTTGCATATCTGATATTTTCCATCACAAAAGTAATATAACTACAAGTTACGTTTTTGCAAATTTTTCAAGAAACAATTTGAAAAAATGCATTAAACACAACAATTTGGCTTTATTATTGGACTTCTTTTCTGATTTGCATAGCAGAAGAGATTTTTTTCTCGGATAACTTCTACTAATTGTTTCTTAAGATGGAAAAAAAATTTTGACTCACAAAACGGAATACTTCATTATTGATGCAACGCACAGAATTTCATTCATTAATGCTGGTTGCAAGTACTGTTGTTCAGAACATTACAGCACTTGTAAAAAGCAATCACGTAAATGCATTGAACAAAAACATTCACAATTTTCTCAGGCTCATAAGAGATTACACAAATTCTGCTATCAGCGATATTTTCAAGACTAATAAAACAAAATATTTTCATAATACCAGCTAAAATTTAAATCAGAAATTAGTCTGAAATCTGCTTCAAATTCAATATAATTAATTTGTCATTTGTTCGTCCAAAACAAATAACATTTAATGCTACAAAAATTTTGTTACATTTTGTTTTTTCATTGCAGATTTAACATTTCAAATTAAGTAAGCTAAGAAATGAAAATATTCAAGGAAAAAACATGTATTCATTTGAATTACTACTGCTCTGATAAAATAATTTAGTAGAAATTGCAAAAAAGCTTAACTGAGTTTTTCATTGCAACATGTCATTTGATATCCGAACGATTTAGATTTGCTTTCTTCACGTTAGTGTTGTCTCTGACAGATTCTTATAAAATTTCTAATGCAGTTCACTCAAAAGTCACTGATATTAGATTGAAATTTTTACTACAAAGTTTAAAAAGGTTCTAGGTGAATAATATCATACCAAAAGTTAAAGCGATGCTAATTTTATTAGAATTTTTTGATGCGAACATGTCAAGTAAGCTAATAGCGATAGGCCCAAGATCGCAAGAATTATTCTTGTTTTGTTTCTTTCGAAGTTATGACAATGAACATAATAGCAATAAATATAAGCTAGCTAAGAAGAAAAAGATAAGTAATCAAGACGGTATAGCAGATGATTAAAAAAATATAATGCATTTTATAGAAAATAATTAAACTGTTAGAAAATGTATCCTTCAGAAGTCTCGAAAATGATTTTCGCATTGATTGCAATTTTTCAGAATGACAATTTATAATAATACATAGTTAATAAATGACATTAAAAAAAATTGTGATCACAAAAGAATCCTCAGAAATGAAATAGTAATTGTTGAGATTAGAGCCATCGAGATATAAGAAGTTTGAGCAGAATTACAAAGATTACTGGAACAGCAGCAAATATGACCCAGATTAGGAATAGTTGCACAACTTTCAAATATTCGATATGTTTGACAAATTGATGATATGCCTGTGCCGTCGCAATATCTCACCTGAAAAAAGCTTTCAGAATACTTTACCTGAAAGGTAATTTGTAAATTTTCGCTATTAACTCTTGAAGATTTATGCAAATTTTGATAAAAACTGTAGAAAAGAGTGAAAGCAATGACAATTTAAGGTAAGTTTATTTTCACGGAGGACTTCAGCTTTCTGCAGTGGCAGCTTTAAATTCAGTCCATAAAAAAAGTAAGGAATTTCCGAGAAAATAGAAGTGAAATTCACAAAGGTTTTGAGGTGTTTATGAAAAAAGAGAAATAGTCTTCCGTAGGTAAAGAAAGCTTTCAGTTCTGAAGCAAAAAATGCAGAAAGCTACGGCTCATTATGAACTAAAAATTAAAAAGTTAAAGTAATTATAGCTATATAATACTCACTGACTGGTATTTATTAATTGTGCAATAAAGTAAAGTAATTAATTATTATTGAAACTGCTCAAAAGCAAGTTTCAAAATAAGGTGTAAAAAAAAATTAGGTAAGTACCGTATCGAAACCGAGCGATTGTTTGATGCAATTAATGCTCGGACATTCAATGATCTGAAGCTGACTTCCTGAATAGCACTGGATAGCACCGATCGTAGGCAATATTGATAAGATAAGTAAGAATATCATTCTACAAAAGTTTTGCGATGAAATCAAGCAAAAATTAACTGATTCTCAACATTTTTAAAAAATTCTATGAAACTGAAACTATACGCAAAATATCAGTCTATCAAAGACTGGTCACAATATGTTCGAATAAAAATAAACAACTGTGAAGTAATAATCTCAGAAATTGAAGATTTTTTGATGAATATGTGCGCAGAATGTGAAGAGTTCACAACTTGCGTATGCAAAGCTGCGCAAGTTGAAATTTACATTTATTTTAACAATATTATTATGCTTGTTTAAAAAATACTCTTAATAAATCAAAAGGAAAATATGCAAAAGTGATCAGAATGGGGAAGTTTTGCCTTCGCCGTTAATTTATGGCAGTGCAAACTCACCATTAAACGTCAATAAATATTAATTGAGTTCATTTGGTTAGTAGAACTGAAAAAGTGGCAATTAAGTATTTATTCGAGAAAACTGGCAGATAAACGGTAAACTGACCAAAATATCTATAAAATGACCAGAATATGCATTAACAATGGAGAATGGAGAGTGAACGAATATGTTTACAATTTGTGTGCAAACGAGATTGCAGCATTCGTTAAAAAAGTACTGTGACCAGTCTTCATTGAATTCATTTTTTGGTAAAAATGATTTTGCCCTTTTTTCTGGCATTTTATGTTAAACCTATTTATGTAATTAATTGCGTAAGGAAAATTAAAAATAATTTTGAAAAACTTCAAAATCAGCCAGACAAGTAATATCGAAGTAGCTCCTCAAACATAAATATTATCTAATTGAGAGCAAAGTTGGCAGCATGATTTCTAGATTGACAGGAAATTAAATTAAATAACAAATTACTAAATCAACTGAAAAAATTCTTCAGGCTATAAAAAACATTTAGTGGAAGTTCAGAAATAGCTAAATAAGTCCAAGTACTTGAAATTAGATTTCCAGAGTAAATTGAATAATCGTATGTTAAAATGACGCAGTCATCAGCACAGCTATTACAAGGTATAATTTTATAATCTTAACTTATTACAAATTCATCAAATTCTAAAATCATAGCCCACTTTTGGTCACTCAAAGATTGCAGACAGAATTAGCAAAGTAAAACTGAGCAGTGCTATTATGATGTTCTTCTATCTAACTATTCCTTCAGTTACTCTTTAACTTTTAGTCTCTCACAAGTAACTGCAATTTCATATTACTTATTTCATTTATTGTTACATTAAAATTTGTTGAAAGTAAATGTATGACATTTAAGTATGTCTTACTTATTTTTAAGTAAGACAAACTTGGACAGAGTGAAAAAAAGAAAATTTAAAAACTTTACTACCAAAAAAGGTTCACTTGTAGAATGATTTATGTAAAGAGGCCAGCCAATCCAAGGTATAAATAAGTTTTCATATAATTCAAGGTCATCTTTTGTGAAGAAAATTGGACAAATATAATTTTCTATGATTGAATTTTTTACGTAATGTTTGGTTTTTAAAGCATTACGAATTAAAATTTCTCAAGCTTTAGCTTACTGTCTAATTTGCATGTTTCCACTTCAAAACTCAACAAATTCATTTTTGTTTAGAGGATTACATTCAAATTTGAAACATTTACGCATTGCAATGTCACCTACTTACAAATTTTCTAGTTGCAATGCTTCTGACTTGAATTTCAAGTTGGCTAACATTACTCAAGTGTAGATTTTTGGTTCGAAGTTTTATACAAGTCATAACTTTTGATGACCAAACTGTCCACTTTTAATTGTCCAAATTTCTGCTGCCACTATCTTTCACATTTAATAATTTAATAATTTGAATGTTGAATAAATTATTTGATCAATCCAATTTCAATTAATTTTTGTCAGAAGGAAAGTTTTTTGATTTTTGAAAAAAATAGAATTAGTTTGCTACGAACTATTCCCACTCATATAATTTTTTTGCTCAAAATTGAACAAATTCTGATATGCAATAAAAATTTTTATAAACGAAAATTTGCCCTTTACGTACAATAAGCAGTCAGTTCAGCTATAATTTAAGTTATTTGAAAATGGCAAAAGAATTTATATATAATAATTTATATCCAAGACAAGAATGGCCATTCAATCGCTGCCATAGAAGGATTTAACTGCCAGAAAATCATAGCCAGAAGTTGATACTAACAGTTTCAGATTCACATTTATACATTATTAAATCCTCAACATTTATAAAACTAGCAAAAACTGAGAGAATGGCTGAAGGCTGATGATTTAAAGTGCTGAAATCATTTTTTAAAACTTGATTCTTGATCTGGTTTGCTACCGGCAGTATCGATGTATAGTACATGCTATGCTACTTAAAATGCACTTCAGAAGTTAAATGTGGAAAATAGAATTAATAAGCAACAGTTGGCAGATATTTATTTGTACTGATTAATTTTGATTGCTCTTTAGCCTGTGAAACTTGAAATTATTGATATCACAGTAAATTTTTTTGTTTCTTAAATTAGAGAAGTACCGCTATTCAAGAAATTTAATTACAACCATGGCTTGAATTAAGCTGAAAATATTTGAAGCGAACTGATCTCAAAACTCAATTTAACAATAGGCATTGGATGGTAAAGAGGCAGTGTTACGAGTAAAGTTTTGTAATCGAGACGTGGTGTGATACGTAAAGAATAATAAATATAACGTACAATTCCAATGTAAATCTTTACTGTCAATATGAAATCACTTAGTTCATCGACAAATTAAGTCTAATACATTATGCATTTATTAAAGTTATTTTGTCTTTCACTAATTTTCACTACCTAATTCCTCAGCTAATGTCATGTTTCATATATTTGTAAATTACTCTTACATAGAACATGAGCGTAACTAAAGTTTTGCGCAGCATGTAAGCTCGGTTCCCGACTTTTGTTCTCGACGTAACGTGTAGTGTTGAAACTAAACTTCTTCCAAATTTTGTTTCTACTATTTTCAAAAACTGTTCGACATATTTTATGCTTAAACAAAAAGTTCAAAATAGCAGCAAGCAAAGTAACATCAAGTACAATCTGGAAGTTATTGAACAAACAAATGGTGGCAGACTTGAAGAGATAAAAATGAAGCTAATATGCAAACAAAGAATGTATTAGAAATATCGGGTCAAATTTCAGTTGAAAATAGAGGTCATTCACAGGCTGACTTCTTCACAAAAACTTTGCAAATTTGGTACTTCAACGTATTTGGATTCCCAAACCACCCTCACTAAACAACAATTTAATGAATTCATTCGCCTTTTTTGCTTTGCTCTAAAAGTGACTGAAACTGAGAGGAAAAATTTCATCTTTTGTTGCTCAAAATGAATCAGTCTGAAGTAAACTCGAATTGATCATTTCATTTTGATCACAAAGGCTATCGTTTCACCGACACGACACACATTCATGAACATTTTTTCCATGCAAATTTGCATATCCACAGCTTTTATTTCCAATCTGACTCAAATAACTACTAGTTGCAGTCGTTACTTTTTACATCATCTTTCTGCTCCACATTGCACTCCTTCATCGCCTAATTATTGTTTGAGAACAAAATCTATCAATCGATGTAGAAAACCTATTTTCGATCCCTCTAACTTAGTACAGAAAGGATAATTTAGTTATCTTTAATAATGATGTTGACAAAAATTTTTGGTTTTCGAGAAAAAAATGGTAACTTCTGTCCTAACTTAAGCTATGGTTTAATATTCCGCACCCGTTTTTACTAAAAGTAAAATGAATTGAGCGCGAAAGTCTGCTTGAAAATACGTAAATAATTTAAGAATCTATTTATGTACGTCAGTTACTTCCTTTTTAAGGAATTACAATAATGAAAACAGAAATAACAACGGTAATAGCAAAAGGAATTCAAGAACTCTTTGTCTGCCAAATGATTACAATAGATTTGATTGCAAACCCGAAAATAATGATTCAGTAAACCAATGCTTAATATACATATGAAAAATAATATCATTATTAGTGTTGTTATTGAAATTCACAAAAATATCGAAATAAATTTATAATTACAATAATAAAAAGGGAAACATAAGCCAACCGGAATGATGGAAATAAATGGTAGAAACTCTATTGCAATTTTACTTGCCCGTGAGATCTGTGAATAATCACTTTTGAGATCAAGTTGTGATGTTGAAAAGTAATGTATGAAACGATTTTGATTACAGAATTATGCAGAGAATAAACAGTAATTTGTTTAAACAGGTATTCAGTGCTAGAACTTCCTGTCATCTCCGCCCTGCCAATTATAACAATTTTGAAGGCAAGCATGAATAAACTTATTCCTAATATTACTTATCAAGTATTATACATCCGTTTTACTTAATCCATTTCTTTCAGTCCCATATGATATATTCAAAATTGATAATCCTCAGATTATGTACGCTGAATTCATTTTGACCATCTATTATCTAATCTAATTTTCTACTGCATACTACACGCAACTGCAGTTTTTTCAATGATCGAATATTTTGCTTTCTTAATCTCATAATACTTTCCCTTAAATAGGACCTATGAATTTATCCATTCACTGAATCATCTTTAATAAAGTATTCTTAATTACTGCGAACAAAATCTAGCTTCTAAACAAGCAAATGGTCTTACAGCAAGCATTTTTGTAATTACTTTTTTTAGTATGTAGAGGGCAGAAAATTGCGCGAATATAACTACGTGTAAACGCAAACTACAAAAGTCTTTTAAAATTAATGTCATAGGTGAATGCAAATTAACAAGAAGCAAAACAAATGAATGTATGAATGAATGAATATCCGTCGTGGGTAATTTGTGAATAATTTTGTGAATAGTAAGAGTACACAGAAGTACAACCTGTTATTGAGATATGAAAAAGCGGAAATGGGTATATTAGAGGTGGTGAAGGTGCAATTCATGGTGGAAATAAGGTGAAAATTGAATGTCCTTGGAGGTGAGGTTGAATTCATCAGTCCATTATGATTTAAAAGACATGAATGCAAGTTATAATTACACTTATTCACCAAGTACCTCTAACCCAAAGCTCACTATAACTAGACGAGTGTATGTTCAACACGGCTTGCTTGCAATAATGGTAAATTCAATAATACCTTCCAGCTGCTCCCACAAAACACCAAGAAACTAGCATACTTTTTATTGCACACTTTTGTGCAAACGTTTTGTATTTATTTCTTTCTCAAGGAACTGTCAACTTAGCCAGACAGAAACAGAACTTCCCGTGTCATGCACTCTTCTAATAGAGTTGTTGCTTGATACTATGTAAAATGGATAAAATCCCCTGATTACTACCATGTGTATTGTTCTTCTATCAGGATGAATATTGGTATTGTACAGAAACCAACAAATTAAATCATTTATTTATCACTATAAGATGAAGATACTAGGTGATCTATTAATTTGTATAATGCTGCGAAGATTACACAGAGTATGAATATAAGTTACTTTACACATATTAAACCATCCCCAAAGTTAGCAAATACAACAACTACAAAATAAAGGACAGAAAATCTAACAGATTTGCTGCTTAGTACCGAGGTTACAAAGCATCAATTATTACCAGAAAAAACAGTGAGAAATGACAGTCATTTCAATGTAAAGAAACTATACTAACATACAAATAGAAATGATAATAAATAGACCAAGTCTATCACATTTCTTGCCACAGTAAATAAAATAATTATGAAAACAAATTCATTACACAAACGTTTATTAATATTTTTCTTCTACTATGGTCAGTGAATGATCAAATGTGAACGGATACTGCTCACCGGATATTCGTTTTTAGCTTTATTTCATATTTAAGTTCAGTAAGGCATTCAAGCTTTAGTAACAAAAACTGCTTTTTAAAACAATAATCACTAGTTAAAACCAATATCACCAGAACAGAATTAAAAAACAATCATTTTATGCACTAAATGATTACACCTCATTCTTTGGAAAATAGAACATCCAACCGCAATCAAATGTTTGGAGGATGAATTTGCAGCTTTACTTTGAACATGCTGGTAAAATCGTTTTATTGTTTGTATGCTTTATTACACTGAATACAGCTCAAACAGGAATCGAATTAAGGAAGATGAGTAGCAAATCCGGCCACGAATAAAACGGTACTTGAGTTTAGAACATAAAATTAAAGAATTAAATGTGACAAAAAACGCACAACATGATCTTAATATAAATAAATTAAATATTCATTATTTAAGTAACGAATAAAAACGTAAAAGGAAAAATGAAAGATTGCTGCACATATTGAGTGCAGCAATCAATCTTGACGAATTAATTTTGGTTATTAAGTATTATATTATTTTCGTTATTAAGTATTATTAGAAGGTAATCTTCTTACATAACAAATATGGCTGTGCGGTTGCTAATTAAAAATTCAAGCCAACCTGTTTATTTGCTATAATACACCCGATAATACAACGTTTTGGAGCGCCATAATGAATATGAATTGTCAAATTTCAATAAGTACACACCTCGACCTGGATACACATGACTACCAGCATATACCTAGAGAAACTGAACACTATGTCAGAAGAATTAAAATTTGACAGGTCTTTGGCTAAATAATTGTTAATTCAGCAAGTAAAGCAGTTTTTTTTGCTGCAGTGCTCACGAGCGAATAACAAACTACTGGTCATGCTGTGGCGAGAAGCATTTCCCACATCACTGTGTCATACGTTGGGAGCATAAAGTAAGTAATAAATAAAAAGTATGAAATCAGAAGATAAAGTGCATGTATAATTATTGAAAAGTAAAAAAATCATCATATCTAAAATTATTATACATAAACGGAAAATGATGAGGAATATTTCGCTAATTAATTTCACTAAAATAATGTAATTGACGATATTTCTCAATGTTTGTTATGTAAATATGCTAACCTCCTCATGACAATCACGTCTGTAAACGGGAACTATTTCGTCGACATGTGGTTTATTGACATCTGCTTGTTTCTCTTTTGCTGAACTGCCACATTCCACATCGCCCAGATTACTGGCTCTAAGATCCGCTTGTAACAACTCCTCATCCGCTTCTTCATCAGATGAATCCGATATTTGAACAGAAACCTGTGCAAATGACGAAAACTTTTTACTTAAAGAACATAATTCATCATCCCACGAACCTTTCTAATTCATTGTCAATATACGCAGTAAAACCAAACATTAACAGAGTATATGAATAGTAATGAACAAAAGTAACAGATCTTCCTAGCATCATACATAAAAATACAGGCAAATCGACCTAATTGGAGATCAAATTCGAAAATTGAATAAAATGAAAAAGTACACAACTAAACACCTCATTTGTTTCTGGAATACTCCATTCAAAAAATACACCAAAACCAATATCGTAATGATCAGTAGCAAACTCCCAAAATAAACAACTGCCCTCATCATGAGTTGGTACACGAACCTGTAACTGTACATCTTGCCATAAATACAAGTTTACCATTCGTCAGTTCAATCAAAATTATGGAAGAAGGGGATGATTCAATATACATTATACAATGCAATTATATTATGCTGTAAATTTATTATTTATAATTACTTATTATAAGAAATATTTTTTTAATGTGAAGCTCTTCGTAAAATTTTTACAGCATATTTGGCGAATAAATTTAAAAAGTATCTACACAGCTAGCAGTACTTACCGTTACTGTTTCTCCATGTCCCACCTTAACGATACTTTCACTGCCCTCTTTTCGAATAACATCCTTGAAATCCAAAATATCCTGACGATTCCACATGGATGCCGGTGCTATCGCTGGATTTGCTTCAAAAAAAAGAACAAAGCAATTAAAGACATTTTCAACTGAAACTTAATATAGCAAGCCATGCCTCATAGTTATAAGAGTATTCATAACACCATGTCTTCTTTTCAATTTATCGCAGTCACAAAAAGCTTGTCGAAATTTAAGCCAGATAGCTGCAAATTCATAATTTTGAATAATAAGAAAATGATGCAATGCTCGAAACTGAAGTAACTCATCTACACGTCTATAAAAAACTCATTACTGTGTTAAATACGGTGTGTAATGATGCGACTGACAAAGATCACAAAGACTTAGAAAAAATGCACTGAAAAGGAAATATGAAAATAAGCGGATATAAAACTATTTTTAGTAGAAAAATACAGCGTTTTAAGAACTTTACGATATGTAACATTTCATCGACTTCACAGCACACTTATTCTGCTTGCTAGCTAAACGAAAGACAAAAATAAAAATAAATAAACCGATTGATCGAAAACATTCACAAGAAAATCATCAAGTGTGATGTTGTAGTTTTACATCAGTTACGTGATGTTAAAGTCACAAACATTGTTGCATTTTTTAAGAAAAATCGCAATCCCCTGCGTACGTCAAATTTGACCGCATAAACAGTTATCGCACTTATGTAAGTCTTTAAAGACTCTCAATACAAACGATTCATTCACTTGTTTTCCTTTCATTTCATTTATCCACTTTGTTTTCGTTCTTCAATTTATATTCATGTGTATAATTTTGCTTTCCATTAACTGCTTTCTATCTAAGTATGTATCATTCGATCCTTGAGCAGTACGAAACACATTTCGAGTGTCTTTTTCAAGGATATTAGAATTCAAGAATGAAAGTAGCTACCTACTTTTCAAATTAACATTGCATCATAATACATACAATGTATCAACTAAAATAGTGATAGCTTTAGTAAAAAGTCACAAACAAACAGTGCATTCACATACTGTTTATTTTGTCATTTCTCCACTGTTAACCTTGTCATTCTGATTTACGACATTTCGTTCAGCAAGTAGTCATTATCTTCTGCAAAATTTTCTCTTCTCCACAGTATTAATAATAGAAAATTATCTCCTTGAAGTAGGAACGTAGTCCAGAAGCAAACTTCCACTCATACTCTCATCAGCTACAGCAGTCAACAAGGAACATAACACCACCCATAAGTTCTTTCTAAGCTCAGCTTCAAGCATTCTTCTTCTTTTGATAGAATGAGAAGCAATAAATACAAGCATGCAATGACCGAACATCATGCAATGCTCAGTTTTTAATATGTTCAGATGTGTTGTTCATTGTTAATCTGCTTAATAAACTATTCAAGAAAACAGTATCACAAACATTAAAAACATGCAAAGAAACATACACGACAGTAAATAAGAAAGCAGCTTACAGTGGCAGAAGAGACCCATTTGACCATGAATTGAACACACTTGAAAGGAGAAATTAGTAAAGGTTGGAAGCAACAAAGAAAAAGAAACGGGAAAGGAATGATAATGCGTGAAAATGAACAAAGCTAAGAAATTCATGAAAATTCCTAACGTTCAATCTTTTTCTACTAAAAATGCAGCAAATCTATGCTATTTTTCCAAAAATTAACTCATATTAAATTTGTTACAAAAGTATCACAATTTGCTTTCCCATTAATATGTTCTCACGCATCATGAAAAAGCAGCACACTGAACTTCTGTTATCCGTCTAATACAATACATGTTGAGAATAATCAAGTCTACAACCAGTATTATTAAGCGTGATTTATACTTCTTAACTTATGACCATGTCGTGTTTGTCTATAAAAATAATTCACACTTAAGAATTGGTTGATAGATACACTTCTAGTATCCCGTAAGTTTTGTGCGTTTTTTTACAACTGAAGACAACCAAAAAATTAAAGCAGGGAAAAAATTTACTAACAGGGTAAATCATCACCGGGTTCTTCATCCGAAACATCTGAATCTTGATTTTTACATTGCTTTCCTTTATTATCGTTGCTCATTTGCACATCAGATGTTGTATTCGTATTATTGTCAGCTTCAAGGGTAAGCTTACTATTAGGTGATGCACCCACCACTTTAGCTTGCTGTGCATATACTTGAGCCATGTACTGCTGATAATGCTGCTCTTGAAGTTGTTTGATTAGCGCTTCTTGCTGCAATTTTTTTTACTGTAAGCAATTTCTCATATTAAACAGTACCATCCCATCCTGACAATTTTAACTTTTTCATTTTGATACTCTCAAAAAAATTAGCAATTATAAGTAATATATCAACACCTGCGATAAATTAACTTTCAGTTAAAATTGCTAAAGTTTTTATTGATCTTATCTTAGATAAAATCAATAAGAACTTGTTTAACAAGAATGAAATCAGAAATCTGAAGAAGAAAAAATCACGAAAATTATTAAATCAAGCTCATTAAATGAAATTATAAAAGAGATGTTCAGTCCCAAAACATTTTCATACATCCGAAATGCGGAAGATAATAATGATAACACACTATATTTAAACCCATTAAATGTTCGTCAAATGCGTATAAATAAATACGTGCAAAATATATCTGCAAAAAATATTTTTAAAATATTCTCGACTTTAGCGTTTTCATAAAGAACTTATGTTAATACATGGATAAATGCATTTTAAATTGCATAAACAAGTTTTGCAAGGAGGGCCAGGTCACTGAGAACAAATGCTTTTCATCCTTCCATAAAACTATAATTGCTTCTGCCAAGCAAGAAGTTAGAGTCTGTGATTGAATAATCATAACTTTGGTTGGTGAATTTTTCTGCTCAGCAAGGCTAGATGTTAAATCACAAGTTAAAAATAGTTACAACTGAAGTTTGATTATTGACTGCAGAAACAATTGTACCCTCATGAGTATATTCTCGATAGAGTAGCTTCTAAAACAACTTGAGCGATTTTTTATATTAGCATAAATGCATTTTCAATTAATTAATTGGTCGTGTTGCTCACAATCCTTCAGAATGCATAAACAATTGGGACATCTCAAACTCAATTTCTTTCCTAAGTGCTCCATTTCAATCGAATGCAAAGCAAATAAATACATGTTATATCACTCATCTACTATCCTTAATAACTTTCATTTCCAAGGCTAAATCTCACATGACAAAGCTATTTTGCAATTTGCAAAGGCAACACGCATGCACAACTCAATAAACAAACCTTGCATTCATTTATTGAGAAGACTACGTAAAAATAATGGAATTACTGCATTATAACTTCATTTGTGCAAAATAAATAAAATAAAGCATAGCTAGCTCATATATATACTTTAGTGAGTGATGGCTTTGACGTACAACTATATCCGATTACATGACACAAACCGTGACATTATTTAGGCGTGAAAAAGAAAATCAAAAATAATAGAACTCCCGTACGTTGTATCCATCATTTACTGACGTAATAAGTGAATGGATATAGTGATCAATGACAAGGCAAATAAGAAATAAATGAAAGAATTAACTGAATCAAGTGAATACACGGACTCTTCACACATAATGCATGAGCAGATTATATTGCTTTCTCTTGTTCTTCAAGAATTATTCGTAAAAGGAATAATAATTAATTAGAGAGAGAAATGGATAAGTTTGAGTGCAAAAAAAGTGGCAAAGATGAAGGATGAGAAGAAAGTAAGTTGTAAACGTGCAATTTAAGAAGGTTGAAGTGCTATTTGAGCAGCAAACTCCGAAAGCTGTTCGGATACAACGATTTAGACATCAGTACTCAAGACCATTCATCATCAGCAAAAGTATCAATGGAACCGAGCTATATTCTAAAAGGAAAGACACTTCCTGCTTGCCAACATTAAGCACTTCCTTCCGCAGTGAAATAAATCTCATTTTCCTATTTTGCCTTTTAATCGCCTTGATAGAACATCCTTAAATTACATGCAGCACTAATTTCACGTAAAATTCATAAACTTCCGATCTCACATATTACATCTAACCCATTCCAACAATCACCTTATCTCATCTTATAGTGACAAGAATCATTGTCTACGAATAGTAAAAGAATGCAATGGATTTCCCGAACCAATTACTGTTTGCATTTGCAAGATATATGCCATAAATGTATTCACAGGTAGAAAGCAACTAATGAGTGTAACTATCAATAAATAGCAGATTCTTGCGACAGATGACGACAGATTACAGCCATTGAGATAATAGATAAATATGGGTACATTAATTTGAGCAGTACTTAGCACACATTTGAGATAAGACAAATTCGCTCAGTGATATGAAGGAAAAAAAAGGCTACTTAACATGCAAATTAGAGCAAACTTCAGCGCAAATGCAAGCGTGCAATTTGTAGGAAGCAAAAGAAGGCAGCGATGATGCATTGTCTGCATGAATCCCATATTCTAAGATCAGTATTCCATCGATCGCATCCCCCTAGAAACCTCTGGTCACAGATGTTTTCACATCTTGCAGGTACACCTCTTCAAATATAATTTACTAAATCCAATTATAATCTTCTGGCACCAGGTGAATAAGCATCAACATCATATCAAGCAATACGTCTAACCTGACCTGTCTGCTGAATCGAATTACTACGTATGCAGCAAGATATTATAATTATCAAATACTATGTAGCAAATATTGTGAGTACTCTCCACTTTCGTATTTTGCAAACTGCAAACCGGTCATTCATAAATTTCGAGTTGCTAATTTACTTGATTAGCCGCTCTAAGAAATAAGAAGGTAACTCGCCATAACAGAACTAATTATTCGCGTAAATATTTCGAACACATACACTCTAGAAAAGCTATTTCTGACCCCATATTTCGCGATATAATTTTTCTTCACCATCATCGCTAAACAATTCAAGATAAAAATGACGCTCAGCTGTGACAGCTAGACTCATCAAACTTGACCAGCGATGACCGAAAATGCCTTTTAGCCACTTTTACACTTTGTATATTCGCAAAACTAGCTACAGTTACAATTTGTCAAAATTTCCCAGCTTATGACCAATAACTGATTCTGTGTTATTTCTACTACGAAAGCAGAAGAAATTCTGAATAAAATAATGTAATCGCAAAAGAAGCAGCTCATCTTATGCTTCAGGCATCAAAAAACACCACAAGTTAGAGTATCACAGATGGCTACTACTGGTTATGGTAAAAAATCGTGTAATCAATGGGTGAAATGAGACTTGTATTCATTTTTGCTTATTCATATCCAGCGCAGTTCATGATCAACAAATAGATCAAGAGTTCTACCTGATCTAATAGTATTTAGATTTCAGCCGATTGCATCGACAAAATGATTTATTAGGTACAGAGCTGTGCAC